CCCGTCACCAGCCGGTCACCACCCTGCGGTCAACACCAGTGCCTTAGCTAATCCTGTCAGCCTTATGAGCTTGCCCAGTGACACGTGCAGCATGACGGCCATGCCGCACCACGGGCATCTGCATTCCTACGCTAATAACCAAGGGGCACACATGAGCTTGCTGGATTCGCTGCAGGGCCCCTACCCGGGGGCTGTCCATCCCCCCGTGTTGGGCCAAGACAGGTTCCCAGCAGACCTGGACCTGGACATGTTCAACGGGAGCCTGGAGTGCGACGTGGAGTCCATCATCCTGAATGACTTTATGGACAGTGATGAGATGGACTTCAACTTCGACTCGGCTCTCCCACCGCAGAACGGGCTCAACGTGCCCGGGGGCCCGCAGCCCACGAACCAGAGCTGGGTGCCCGGGTGACGCTCACCCCGGGGTGGGGGGCTCGCCACCGAGAAGCCACGAGGGGAACATTGAGACTAACTTCTTTTGGGTTTTCTTTTCCTTTTCTCTTCTGCCTTTGTTTGTTAAGACGGGCTTACAGCCATCGGTCTGAGCTTGAGGTCGAACATGAAACACAAGCCCTAGGGTCAAATATTGAGCCCCCAGCCCAAAAACGTGCCCAGTCTGCTGGGTCCTCCCATGAGCATCCTTTGGAGGATGCAGGGGCAGGCAGCCAGGAGAGGCAGCTGGAATCAGGCGGGTCCAGGGATGGGGAAGCAGGAAGGGAAAGACTTTCCAGACAGTCCCAGTGCCCTGCTGGGATGGTGCCAGTTTGGTTTGTCCTTGGGCTGGGTGATGGAGCGGTGATGGCTGGTGGTATGGGAACCCCCCTCTGGAAAGGGACCCTTTGCTCTGAGCCCCCTCGGGAAACGAGTCCTCTGAGTAGAAGTGTCAGGAGTGGGGACCCTGCCCCAGGGCATGGGGGGCTCCTCACCCCTAGATCCCGGTGGAGATCTGAGCTCTGCCAAGCCCACATGCCCAGGCCACCTCCATGGCTTCAAGCAGTGAGGAAGGGGCTGGTGATGGAGGGCAGGGTGGTCCTGCTGGAATGATGTGCTGCTTGGCTGGGTCCCCTGTGCCAGGGGCTCAGGGGGAGCTGCAGGGTCAGGGAGGGGGGTGTATTTATTTGATTTCATGCACTCTTTTGCCATTGAGCTTTTGCATTGGAAGGAAGAAAGGGAGAGGAGGAGAAGGGGCTGTGGGCAACGCTGACGGCTGCGCCCCATCGCACGTCTCATCTTGGCTTGGTCATGGCTTCGGGTGCTGGGTGCTGGGGTGGAAGGTGGATGCGGTGGCCAGGCCCGCGGTGGCTCACACTGCTCAGGGAGGTGGCACAGGGCTCTTGGGGGCCAACCCTGGTGTCAGGAGTGGTTCGCATCCCTGCCTGTCCCCGGGATGCCGGGAGAGCTGCCCGGCGAGGGGGGATGACGACAAGAGGGGTCAGCCCTGCGCCCATCTGCCAGGGGCTGGTGCTCCATGGGGACAGGGACCACCATCCACACATGGTCCTGTGGCTTGT